TTTTTTTGTGTGTGTATCTGTTTTATTGGCCGTGCTGAGGGATTGCCACACCCCTGTCAGCGTCACACCATGTTTACAACGGCCCCCTGTTGCCGCGTCCGGGGTTGTGGCTGATCTAGCAATGTGGCGCGGCTAGCACTCGGTCTCTTTGCACGCGTTTCGATTTTCAATGTATTTCATCCATTTCGTTTTAGTTCATTTAGTTCATTTAACTCATTTATCTCATCTCATTTTTCTCATTTTGCCCATTTTGCTCCATCCGGTCATTCTTTGTTTTCATGCGGTCGCCCGCGACCTGGTGTATAACTCCACGCGCCGACACGGATGTAATAAACAAACAGACAATGGCGCGCAGATTTTAAATTAAGAAAAAAAAAAAAAAAAAAAGAATGACTTTCTCTCCAATTGAGCGGTAAAGCGGTATGCAGTCACCCACCTTTCAAGCGAAGAGACGGGGGATAACCTGCGGGTGGCGAGCGACTGGCGCGCACGATCAGCCTCGTACGCATCATCGGCTTGGTCATTCTCTGGGCTACTGTGTTCACCTCTTCGGTGCAAGATGCTTTATGTGCCCCTCGGGTGGGTCTCTCACCCCACTCATGTGACCTTCCAAACAAAGGTGCCACACGTCGCACAGGAAGGGATAAAGTGAGTGCTTTCTTTGCTAAGAGGTACAACACAACACCTACTTAAAGTTAAAAGAAGAAGCCAAGGACCTTTCCTCCCGTGTGCTTTCTTCTTGCCTCCTCATGATCCATAATACCGTAGGGGGTTGTCAGGATTAAGTGACCGAAGAGTCGGCTGGGAAGAATGTTGGTGATGATCTTTTCGATCTCGTCCAGCTTCACGTCGTACCTGCGGGGGGAGCGGAGGGAGGGGGCGGCATGGTAAGAAGGGCGGCATGGTAGGGGGCGCACCGTGATAGGGGCCACACCGTGATAGGCGGAGCATCCTCATACGGATCTTGACACACCAAATCGTTGACAAACCGATTAACCCTCTCGCGAAACTCACCGGGGTGATATGACGGCGCACTTGTTTATTCGTCCCAGGAGGTTCACCACAATCTTTCCCGATCGATGATCATCTACAATTTCAAAGTTGCCAATGTACCCCTTCTTCTGCATGTACTGCAAGAATTTCACGACGACTTTGGATGAGGGCCTTATCAGCACCTGTCGCCTTCCTCTCTTCTCCGCGTTGTTAATCGTTTTTAGGCAGTCAGCCAGTACGCTCATTCGAACCATCTGCGGGGGGCACGCACGTTTGGTCACATGAGTGAACAGAGAAGAAACAAAAAAGTGGAAAAAAAAAAGAAGCAAAAAAACAGAAGAAACAAAATGGAGAGTAAATTTTGCACATATGTGAGGTGGCTGCCTTATGATGGGAGAAGGAGATCATATCGGTCCTGTCGCTCTGAAGTTGCTTGGCCATGTAAAAAGGGAAGGGGAGGCTTTAACTGATGGAGGGAGAGGCAGTGGCAATGCCAGAGTAACGGCCTAATGACGGCGAGCAGGATCCTCAAAGAAAAGCAATATGCCTCTCTCCCTTCGTCAGTTAAGCCTCCCCCCCTTCCGCATCACTTGCAATCCCCTCAACCTTACCTTAACTAAAGAAAAAGTATTCCAATGATTGCAAAAAGAGATTTCCTCAAGCGAGGCAGTTCTATATATTTCTTTTTCCCCTTGGGGTGAATTATATGAAAAAAGTATAGTAAGCTAGCGCGAAATGAAAAAAATGGTCAGCGGTGGGAAGAAGAAACTTAAAACGGGAAGCATGAAATTGTAAAGCAAAAAAAAAATGTTCGCGAAATGGTAAGCCAGTAAGTACAATACATATAATGTTGTAAGGAAAAAAGAAAAAAAAAAAAAAAATTGCAATCAAGTCGCGGTAAACTGGAGGAAAAGGTGCAGGATTCAGCTTGTTCGCTTTGGAACGTTTTTTCTTTTTTTCTCTCTGTTCCTTTCTTTTCGGGGGAGACAACACCCTCTTGTCGCGATACCTTTTTCCTTTCTCAAGAAGGATGTGGCGAGCGTTACCCTTCTCTCCAGCTTTGGTTCGTCGTGGCCTCTCCTCCACAGGCGCAGATGTGAAGAGGTGGCGCCACGGTATAGGGGAGTGCATAAAATAGCGGCGCGACCCTCTTTTTCTTTTTGCCGCCCATGCAAAGTGCACAGCACGCCGCCGCAAACATATGACATTCTGGTGACGAGGCGAGCATACACGTTTGGTTTGTCCCCATCGGCGCTGTGAAACCTGGAACCAGAAAAATGAAAGAAGCGCCGGGGGGAAAAAAAAGAGGAAACACATATTTACACGGTTCTATTAACACCAATTTGAACTTAAACTCTCCCCCTTTGTCGCTTCTCCGCGTCGCCTACAACATGCCCCAAGGAAAACGCGACACATGGCTGCTCAGTTAAAAAAAATAAATAAAATAAAATGATAAAATTAGCAACGGAGCGATTGTACGCATAACTTCATTTTTGGAACCCTCGAGGGGTTGTTCCTCTGCGGGTTTATAGTCAGTCGATGTCCGGACGAGCTCTTCGAATAGAGGACCCCACTGACAAATGGACCCCTAAATGCACTACCCCCCCAACACTCCTTCTTGGTTTTAGTTCCTCCAAAGGGATGGGATGACGACGGTGTTGGTCACACGGGATTGTATACCAATGGGTATGGTGACCCCCCCTTCACTGATCTCCCCCTGCTGGTAAGTACTCTCCAATGGAAGAAACTGTGTCTTGTTCTGCGTAAGGGTCGGTCGGTGGAACACCCATGTAACTGCCTGGCATAGGAAGCTGTGCCCTTTTGCGCGTGCGCACATGTATGCCCACATGACAGATAAAATTTAAAAAGGTACCTAACTGTGGAAATATTCTTCACCAAAAAAAAAAAGAAAAAAAAAAAAAAAAAAAAAAAAAAAAAAAAGGAGGAGGGAGAAGAAGAAGCAAAAGCCATAATGCTAAGCAGAAGCATAAGACGAAGCAGATGGAGGAGACAAAGACTATGATGGAAGGCGGGTGGAAATAACTTAGCCTGCGCTCGGGGAACGCGGCCAACAAAATGCGTGTCAAAAGAAAAGAAAAAAAAAACATTTTTGTGTGCATGGCTCTCCTCATGTGGAAAGACATTCCCCATTTTAACATCTTCAAAATGGGTGACGGACGTAGGGGTGAGACATGTGTTCAGGGGCTAAGGGGACCACCTGTCTGTGTTAACCCTCCCCTGGGAAGGGATGTCGCATAACATCGCACCGCTCTTCATCTTGCCACCGATCCACCGGTGGTCTCAATCGAGCATAATGTCATTTCGGTGATGAAAATTGGCGTAGCGAAGTGGCAGACGAGTGTTGCGTTTTCGAGCTTCTTTTGCGAGGCTCATATAGGTGCTTGCTTTTTCCTGCATCGATGGTGACCAAGGGGGGGAGGGAAGTCGCGCGAGGGGGTCCCCAATGATGCCTATCCCAGTGATGGCTGTTCTGATTATAACTGTTCTAATGATGGCTTCTCCGAACTGCTAACCCTTCCTGCCAACCCTGCTCATACATTTCTCCGGCGAATCCCCTCCTGCACGAGCTTCTCCGTGAGGTTTCCCGTGAACTGCGTCAGGTGGCTGGTAGCCGTCTGGCTAATCTTCTTCACCGTGCTGTCGATCGTCTTCTCGTGCTTTAACAGGATGGGCCGAATGATATAATTGTACACCGTTTCGGCGCCCCTGACTTGGGGCATATACAGGTAGAGGAGAAACAGTAACTTGAGCAGATAGTAAAAGGGGACCCAAAATAAAATGATATCAATAAGGTACTCGAAAAAAAAGAAGAGAGAGTACACCACCCAGTAGGTTAGCCACAATTTCGTTTCGTCTTTGCATTGCGACTCGACTGCTTTGAAGGACTGGTAGGCTGTAAGAGGGAAAAAGCGGCATTGTGGAGGGGGCGCACCACTGTGGAGGGGACGTGGCACTGTGGAGGGGACACGGCACTGTGGAGGGGACACGGCACTGTGGAGGGGACACGGCACTGTGGAGGGGGCACGGCACTGTGGAGGGGGCACGGCACTGTGGATGGGACGCGGCATTGTGGAGGGGACGCGGCATTGTGGAGGAGAAGCAACACGAGGGTGTTGAAACTACATCGTGGAGACTCACCTGGGTAAGCAAAACCAACGACGTTGCAAATGAGGGCCGCCCCCCAACCGAAGATAAGCGAGAGGAAGAGAAAAACACCAACACCCACAATGACGTAGGAAGGCTTGATGCCATACTTCTTCCCCAGGTCATCCAAAAAGGGATACTGTTTTACATGCTCGTCTATTTTGTCCAAAGTTTTTCCCAAATCGAAATTGTTAATTGAATCTCCTAGGACTTTGGAGGATAGCCTCTTGAAGGCATTCATATTTTGGGAGCTCCCCCCTCCTCCGTACTTGTCCTGATCCTTGTCTTTATTCTTGGAGTATAGTTTCGCCTTCATTGGTTCGTCTGTCTATGTGGTTGCCTGGGAGTTTATCTGTGTGGTTGCGTTACTACCTGTCAGTCTGCTTGCCTGCCTGAGGGGGGTGAGCTGAGTTGCATATATGTGCGACGTGACGTCACAAGAAGGGTCACAATAAATGGGGGTACAATGGGGGCGGTAGAAGGGGACGAAAATGAGCTCAACCACTGTGTGTTGTATCTTCGGCTGGGATTCCTCGCCAGACATGTGTGACGAGTTTCTCCCCTGTTGCTTCCCCATCGTCCGGTTTCCTTTTCCGGGTTGTTGCTTCCCTATACCTGGTGACGGATTTCCTCTCTGTTGCAGCTGCTAAGCTTTGTACAGAAGGTTACGCGGCGAAGTGGATGATGGGGTGGGAGAGGTCCTCAGCTTTGAGGGGACTAGTGGACGACTGGTGATGGAACTTTCGGTGAGCCGTTCGCAGGGCTTGTAGTATGCAAAGGAAGGTTGCCAGAAAGGGGCTGCAACTGAGCAGCAGCGGGCCAGGAAAAAGAGCGAGAGAAGTATGAACACGCGTGAGCGCGGCGTGGCACAGCACGGCTTCGGCTTCTGCCCCGGCGAACCTCAGCGCATTGGCTCCAAGTGCATTTTTAGTTTTTCGTAGAGGTGGTCCCTAGCGTTTCACTGGAAGGATTTCGCACGTGGCTTCCTCTCTTGGTATCAACACCGGGTATTCCTCGATTGGCGTTTCCTTTCGCTTCTCCAGGAGGTCAACTGCGCCGCGCTCCTTTCGCTTGACTGACAAAAATGGCATTGCCGGCATAAGGGCACATACAAGGGGAGGTGACGAAGATCGTGATAAATGAAAAAGCCCAATTGAAAAGAAAAAGAAAAAAAAAATGTCGAAGTAGATCGCGGAAATGAAATGATGCAGAGCTGCGTTTGACTGGTAGATACGCGTGAGGTGTGCGCAGTGCGGGGGAGAGTCAGGCCCGCAAAAAAAAAAAAAAAAAAAAAAAAAAAGGAAAAAAAAAGGAAAAAAAAAGGAAAAAAGAAGAAAAAAAGAAGAAAAAAAAGAAAAAATGCATATATCACACGGACGACGTATACGAAATGTACCACGTAAGATTAAAGTTAAAAAGGCACGTCATTTGGCTGAATGCCCTCTCCTAGCGAATTCGCATGATCTAGTTTCTCTGCCTGCCCGATGGAGAAACAGACAAATGGGGAATAACGAACAAGGAAAGCCTCTCCTAAAAAAGAGAAAAGAAAAAAATACACCAATTCTACTATCCGATGGGAAGGAAGAAAAAAGTTTTGCCTCCCCCCTAAAAAGGAACACATTGGGGTGATGTTAAAAAGGGAGTTTTATCACCTCACATTGTTCAGGTTTTCTCACCAAATGGAAGAAATAGTTTCCCCTGCTCGGGTCCTACGTGGACGTAGCGAACCAGTTGGCTTGGCATCTAGCCTCGGGGACGCGCTTCCTTCTTTGCATGTTTCCCATGTGGAGGCAAATCCGTACAAATTGTCAATTCGCGTCACAACTTAGCAGAGCAGTTTTTTTGTGCCAAACGTGGCCCAGTTGCTGAAGCATCATGGGAAAGGGAATGCCTCTGCTGCCAACAGATCGTTGTCTAGTCGATGGAAGCTGGGTGCACCTCCGACATGTAAGAGTGAGTTAAATAGGAGTTGCCCTCTCGAGGTGCGGAGGTGAGGTGCTACGAAGCTGCTCAGCTGCTGAGCAGAGTCGTACGTCGCTAAAACAACAAAAAAATGAGCAATCAGTAAAGAGAACAGAATTGGTCTACCTTTTCTCTTTCACGTGAGATGCATCCCCCCCGATTGGAAATGTAATAGCGCGTCACCCATTTGAACGATCATATAAGAGGAGCAAGGGGGAAGGGGAGCTTCCGGAAGGAGGACACACAAGAAGAGGGGGTTGGTTGGCCGGTTGCTAATCAGGAAGGCGGGTAAATCCCCCTTGATGGTTTTTATTTCAGGGGATAGGCGGAGGAGGAGCGGCGGGTCACCCATCTTGCAATGTTTTCCCGGGGAATGTATAGCCCCACTGTGCGGTCCCCCAATAGAGGTGTTAACTTTAACGCAACGTATTAACGCATCGTTTTAAGGCAACCTTTTAATGCAACACTTCAACGAAGCGATGGCTGAGGTGACCACCACGCGAGCGTGCCATCTGCCCTGTAAAGGTGCATCCATGCAAGTGGAGTAATTCATAGTTACGTGTGCCTTTGGGAGACTTCATCCTCATTGTGGCCTATGCATGACGGTACCCTCCTTGTTCGTCCGTCTGTCCCACTGTGGGGAATACGAAATGGGGAGAGCAGAGCGTACGTATGCCCGAATGGCCGCATCACCGAATGGCCGCATCACCGAATGGCCGCATCACCGCATGGCCGCATCACCGAACGCCCCTTTTTGTTACTCCGTGGCCAAACTAAACGGTTTTCGCATTGGCAAAGGGTTTCCCGAGGGAAGGTGCAAAGCGGAAACGTGCCTGCAGGCATACACATACGAAGGAACATGCATGTGACGTCTCAGGGCAAGCAACCTTTAATCGTTCGGCGGAACGGTCACGAAAGGAAATCCACTTTAAAATTGGGACTAATCTTTTTTACAGTGCCCATTTTGCACCCCCTCCTCACCGGTTCAGTAAACCCTTTCAATTTTTGTAGCAATGTTCTTGTAGCGAACAGTGGAGTGGACATTCATCCGTTCTTTTCCCCCATTGATGCTGCAACGTCGCCAAGGGCTGCATTTTGCACATAGGCAAAAGATCCATTGGTCCCCCTTTGCCCTGGTTTCCCCCTATCCCCATGCACATCCTACAAATGGGGCTCAACACACTCATTGCTCGGTTCGCATTGGGGTCAGCTACGCCAGGCTCATGCATCTGTGTAGCACTTTCTCCCGTTTACGCGATTCGCTTCGTCAGTTTGCCTTATCCTCCGTCAGCGTGTTCCCCATAAAAAAAGGGGCTCAAAAGTAAGTGCTCCAAAGTAGGGGCTCGAAAGTGGTTGCACCAAAGCAGTTACGCGAAAGCACTAGCGTGAACGCAGTGACCCACTAATGATTACAAGTGACGCGAAAATAATTTATGGCAACATGCTCATGCCCAAAGAATTACGTACACTCTCGTGCGCGCGTGCCACTTACTTCCCCGCTCAGTCCTTTGTTTTTTTTTTCCTTTTCCATTTGGGGGAAAAGAAGGAACCCTTCAACACATTTTTTTTTTCTCTCTTTTTTTTTTCTCTTTTTTGTTTTTTCTTTTTTTTTTCCTCTCCCTGATTTGTTGCCCCATTTGAAATTACAGCCAAGGCGAATTACTCCCGATTAACGAAGAAGGTTTTTTTTGGCTCTTCTTCCAGCTCCTCTTCCTGCTCCTCTTCGAGCTCTTCCGCTTTTTTGTTCCCACTTTGCCCCCCATTTGGCTCCCTTTCTGCCCCCATCACTTCTTGAGCCCTCCTGCCCCCAGATCTTCTCTTGCATTCCTTTCTCCCTCTTCCTCTTCTTCCCCATCGATCCCCCCCCGTCCACTTAAAATGTCAAAGGGTAGCAGTAAATATGTGATAGACCCCATAAGCGTCAAGACCGCGTGCACAAGTGACGAGTCGTACATTCGATGTGTTGAGTATGGGAAGGGGAAGGCCCATTTGCCCAATTTGTCGCTGCTAGTCAAGGCCATCTTGGCTGGCTTCTTCGTCGGCGTCTGCGCGCACGCCTCAGGGATAGCAGGTTATATATGCTGTAGGGGAGAGAGGATTGAAGTGGGTCTCACAAAATGGCTGAGATGACGGATGTCCAATTTGTCTGGCCCACTTTACAGACTTCGCAACTATGTTGCCAAAAAGGGGCTAACTCGCTCCTCGGATAAGCGGCCCCTCGGATAAGCGGCCCCTCGGATAAGCGGCCTCTCGGATAAGCGGCCTCTCGGATAAGTGGCCTCTCTCATAATCTGCTGCCTCACTCATAACCTGCTGCACCACCACCCCCCCTGCAGGAGGCCACTTCTACTACCACAAACTGCGAGAACATGTGGGCATCTCCATGAGCGCGTTTGTCTACGGATTCACCTTCCCGATAGCTTTCCTGTGCATCATAGCCACTGGATCGGACCTCTTCACGGGAAACACCCTAGCCGTGACGACAGCTTTGCTGCAAAGGAAAATTACTCTCCTGCAGTATCTGCGAGTAATGACGATATCGCTCTTTGGCAACTACGTGGGAGCAGTATCCTTTGCCTTCTTCATTTCGCATTTATCAGGGGCGTTCAAAACGAATGAAGACATTGCTAAGAATCACATTTTTCAATTTTTAAATGACATATCGGAGAAGAAAGTGCACCATAAGTTTATCGAGTGCGTCTCTCTGGCTATTGGTTGCAACATCTTTGTCTGCCTAGCTGTGTATTTTGTATTGACAATTAAGGACGGAGCCGGGATGGTCTTCAGCGTCTTTTTCGCTGTCTACGCCTTCGCCATTGCAGGATACGAGCACATCGTCGCCAATATGTACACACTCAATCTCGCCCTCATGGTTAAGACGAAGGTCACTTGCTCGGAAGTCTACCTCAGTAACTTGCTTCCTACGCTTATTGGAAACTACGTGAGTGGGCGAGGAAGAGACACGAGCGCTGCGAAGGGAGAGTATCGCGAAGCGAGAGCAACGCGGACAACTTTTTGTGTGCCTCGTGTGGCACGCCAAAGAGGCATTACCCAAGAGAGATTACCCAAGAAAGATTACCCAAACGAGATCATCGCGGCGAAGCGCTGAACGTGGTTCGAGCCCCCCTTGACCGCTTAACCGCTTGACCTCTTAACCGCTTGACCTCTTAACCGCTTGACCTCTTAACCGCTTAACCGCTTGACCATGCGCATTTGCGTCCCTTCCCCGTAGCACCGTGTAGTTAATGTCTTCCCCCCCCTCCCCTTCACAGATCGCCGGAGCGGTGGTTCTGGCGTGCCCGCTGTCCTACCTTTATCGCCATAGCTACAGGGACTACGAAAATACACGTGGCGATGGGAGCAACTTTGGTTTGAAGAGGTAGATGAAGGAGAAGCAACCGGGTCGCTGCGTCTCTTCCCCGGGAGCGGTGCACCTCCATATGTATGTATATATATCATCCTGTGTCTTTTTTTCTGCCGACACGTCTTTACACCCCTGTTGTTAAATACATCCCTCCCACTTTCCCCCCCTGGATGCAGTCTCGCCATAGAAATGCAAACTGGTAGCAGTGGCAAGTGAGAATGGACGGACGGTCAGACATCCCTGGCGCAATGCAAGTCGAGACGAAATTTTGTTTATCCTTTTCTCCCTGTCTCTGGCTTGTTCGCCACGTGAATGCACGTTTGTAGTTTTATGCATGCCTGCAGTTGCCTGCACGTGCCGAAATGTATGGTGCCATTTACAGTCAAACGCATCTATTTTCAACCCGCATTTTTCACGCCAACGTATGTCTACATCTATATGTGTATCCTGTGAATTAGAACCCGTTTGTGTCCATTTTTAATTGATTCTTTTACCTCTCTTGTTTTCCCCTAGTTGGCTTAATTTTTTTTTTCATTTTTGGTTTTTTCCTTCTTTTTTTTCTTTCTTTTCTTGTTTTCTTTCCCTTTTTTGCTTTTCCTTTTTTGCTTTTTTTTCTTTTTTTTTTTTTCTTTCTCCTCACTACATCCCTGCCAACTTTTGCGTTACACACCGGATTATTTCTCACCTCTGCTACGCCATCTGCTGGCCATCCCCTCCCCCCCGGTGTGAAACACGTTTATGGGAATCATTGAATTGTAGAAATAGGTATGACTCGTTGTTCTTTTTCTTTTACGTTACCTTTTACGTTTATGTTTACTTTACCTTCTACTTTTTTTTTTTTTTTTTTTTGCACCAAGCAGAGTTCCACCCGGCGAATCGCGCCACTTGGAAGCACTCCCTAACTAGGCGACGCGTCGTGCACGTGGACCCTTCAATTTGGCTGAACAGTTCAGGGGCGTCTGCAGTGGAAGTTGGAGCTGCTGTAAGGCGGCCGAGCGGGGGATGCGCGAAAAGGGGGGCGCTCCCCCGGGGAAGTTCAACACGGGTAAAGAGGCCCACTGGGATATAGACACACTTCCCCCCTGGCGCATACGCGCTTCTCGGCGCAGCAGTAACTGTATGGACACACGTGTCGGCACGTGTGTAGAGACTCTCGCGTGTGTGTTAGGGATTCCCCGCGCAGGGTAGGACGATATTGCGGAGCTTGGCAGCGAGCTGAACGTGCGAGTTGCGCGTGCGTTCGGTTAAGTCATCGATGACGGCGAAGTTCCGACGGTAGCTGTCGAGCGTGTCCTGAATGAGCTTGACAATGGAGTCAATTTCTTGGGCTTCCTTGTCGGCCTCTCTGTTTACTTCGTCGATTTGTTCATACATTTGGTTTACTTTCTTCTGCACGACGACGACGTTTTTCTCCTCTCCTTCCACTTTTGCATTCCACTTGGCTTTCTGCTCAGCAAAGTACTGCTCCGTATCGCGCAGGATTCTTTCCTGATCCTTTTTCTTCATGCTGAGATGGTCCTTATCCGTTTTCAATGTCTTCAATTGTTTCTCGAGATCTTTTAACTCCTCCTTCTTTCCTATGTGATGTTTAATCGTATCGTTAAAGTGTCCAGTCAAAGAGGTCAGCAGCTCGACGAGTTTTTTCAAACATAAGTCAGCAACGTTTATTTTGTTTTTAATTTCTTCATTTTTTTTCTTGTCCGATTCGAAGTAGGAGACATGTTCTAGTAAGAGATTCTTCAATTCTTGGTTATATTCTTGTAGTTTTTCCGGGGAAGGTACAATCTGATCTTCGAGATCTTCTTTCTTTTGTCTGAATCGAGAAAATTGGAATATCAGCTCATTAGTTTCGTTTACAATTTTGTCCTTGGTGGCCCTTAACGAGATGATAGTACTCTGTTGTGCATTCAGATGATTCTGATTTTCGATGATTTCTTCCTCGTAATCTCTTTTTTTATTTTTTTCACTAAGGACACTGTTCTTTATCTGTTCGTAGTTTTCCAATAGAGCCTGTAATTCGTTCCTTAGTGTTTTAAGTTCAGCATCCAATGCGAGGTGTTCACTCTTGCCTTGCTCGATTTTCTTAATTTTCTTCTCATTGTCCAGATAAATCTGATCCTTATATTTGGTGAAGTGAATGAATGCATTTATAAGCTTGGTCATGTGACTGCTGACTGGTTTGAAAATATAACTGAGTGTGTTTTCCACGCATAGTATCTTGTTAATCTGTTCGCAGTGCCGAATGAAGCGCAAGTTTCCGATGGCCTGCAGGTGATTCTTCCCTTCGTTCGGAAGAATTTGAATTCCGTCAATAGACGGCATGGAGCTTTTTAAGTCCCCTGTGAACTCCTCTATCCGTATGTTATTAATGTCTTTGTTTAGGATGTGTTTTATGCACATGCTGTATACTCCCTGCATGTCTTCCGTCGTGGGATTCTTCAGCGTCCCCTGTGTTATCTCCACGCCGTACTTGCTCATCTCGCCCCGCATCTCCTCGAAGCTGAGTCTTGGCACGACCTCGCCCCCGCCGCTCATCTTGAGGAGCGGTTAGAGCGGTAGAGTGGTAGAGCGATCAGACGGGTCAGTTGGCCGCTTGCCGATTTGGCCGATCCGATGTGCTGCACTGATGGAGCCCCTTTGGGGGGGGAGACAACTGACCGCGCGACCACCTCGCCAACCGTGTGGGCATTGCGCAGACCTTGGTCGCGAAAAGAAAGATGGTGAAAAGAGCTCCCCGCGGGGTGACTACTTCTACTTTATCATCTTTTAATCGTTTGTTAATCGTTTGTTAATCGTTTGTTAATTGTTTCGTTGCATCATTTTATTTTATCTTATTTTATTTTTTTGCGAGTTATGTCTACTTCGGCCGCTTGGCCACTCCGTAACGAACACGACAGAGATGTTTTCCCGTTTGGGCCGCCTTACCCTTTGCGATTTTTTTTTTTTTGCGTGATTTTGCTTTAAAAAGGGGTAAATGCGAAGCGAGAGAGAGGCACCCGGAAGGTGAGCGCTTTGGCAGAGTGAACACATCGGTGAAGCAAACGTTTTGGAAAAATAAACGCGCGGGGGGAAAATACTGGCGTGTAATTCTTTTTGAAGTTACTCCGCCTTGTGCATACCCCCCCCCAGACGGTGCTGTCAAAAAGGAACTGCGCTTCACACCGTTGGGGGGAAATAGTCCCACTTGGTATCTTTTTTTTCTTTTTTTTTTCTTTTTTTTTTTTTCTTTTTTTTTTTTTCTTTTTTTTTCCAAATGTGCGCGCGTGCCTGTTGATATATATCTCCATCGGGAAGGAGGTACAAATCAGATGGTGCGCTCGCACAGTGGACGGTCCGACATACAACAAGAGCGAGACGGTCCCATTCTTTCACCATCCTCTCCCCAATGTGTGCATCTTTGTGTCCATCTTTGTGTACGCACCGAATGTGTGCGGTGTTTATCCAATTGTGCTGTCCGGTCGATAGGTGATTACCTCCAGTGGCATTGTAAAAGATGGGTCCTGTCCTCTTCCGATAGGTCGATTTCAGGTGGGGAGACAATTCCCCCCCCGTCCATAAACGGTGCTGCCCCGATCGCTGCCTCGGTCACTTCCTCCATCACTATCGCGATGACAAGATTGCGTTGCAGTGCCAGAGCGGCATCAGCGGTTAGCTCTCCTCTCCGTGTCATCCCCCATCACTTGGTGAACAGGCCTCCCCCAGGAGGAAACAAAACTGTGGGTAGCTTTGTCCCCGCAACGAACCCCTCACGGGGTGTGTAGCTCTCACCTTTTCCTTTGTTCACATGCAACGTCTAGAAAACGCCGTTGAGCTCACCTCCCAGCGCGTATGCAACACCCTTGTGTAGCGCCCGGAGTTTTGGGTCTCTCTTGGGCATGGCGAGAAAATACCCAAGCAGGGCATCCTCAAAAAAAAAAAAAAAAGAAACCATAAAAGGGGGAAGAACCTGTGTGGAAGCGATGATGCATTGTAGGATAGGTTACTCGCAGAAGTGGATAAAAAATTAAAAAAAAAAAAAAAAAATCTACAAATACAACGCGGCAAAAATATCGCAGGGAAAGAACAACCATCCTCTCAGCCAAAGTAGTGCCCCTTCTGGCGAATGATTTGGGGACGCCCTCCCTAAGGATGAACAGGGTATGCCTACTCGTGGCGATCTACTTAGCCCTTTCACACTCTAGCAACAGTGTAACGGAGCAACACACGGCAGCCATAAGTTTCACTCTCCAGAGGAGAAGCAACGTGTGCGTAAAGAGCAGGAGGGGAAAAAGTCACAAAGGAAGTGCGTCCCTCCCACGACCTAGCTTAAGCTTCAAACAAATCAGCATTGTAAAGCGACCTGCCAAGTTGTGCAGGTACCTTTTCTGCAAACCGTTCCATCGACGCGGAAGGAACACATGTGTCCAAGATGGAGAACAACAATTCAGAGATGCAAAGAAGGGGGGAAATAAAACAACCTATGTTTCCACAGCGCTGTCTCGAACTGGGCGCTACTACAAGGGAGGTTACCATGTAGGGAAGGCTTGGTTCCTTTTTGCATTACACGAGGGGGGTGCAGAGGACAGGAGGGGCATGAGGAAGCAGAAAATTGGGGCTTCCAAGCAGGGTGGCAACAACGAGCGTGAAGAAGAGGAACTGGTAACAGGGGGAAATGATTTGGAGGAGGCGAACAAACGAGAGGGCTCACCACACCTGAGTGGAAGGGGCCGGACAGATGGCACGCTCCACCCGAACGAGGAGAGACTCACCAAAGCGATGCAACGAGCGGAGGATTACATCAAGGGGAAAGAGGACGACGTGCTGGAAAGGAGAGAAGTGCAGAAGAAGAAAAAGATCATTGAGAAATTAAAAGGACAGGAGGACGTCTTCTCGGATAAGTTTCTGGACCTTGGGGTGTATGATGTGTTGAAGCATGTGTACGAGGCAGGTCTGTACGCTGACTCGAAGAGTTTGGTGGAGGCCGTGTGTAGGTGGATGCGCAGGGCCTACACGGCGGGAGCCTCGGAAAAGCGGCCAAAGGAGGGGCCAAATGAGAAGAGTTCACCCCGGACGGACACTTCACCCAGGATCGACACTTCACCCTGCATGGATACCTCCCGCGAGGTTCCCTACCTCGTGGAGAAAGATCTCGCAGATAACTACAGCCGAGATGGGGGGGAAAAAATCGTCAACCACTTCCGCTTGGATCCCCCAGGGGAGGAAAAGGGAAGTGATGAGATGGAGTCGCTCAAGTTGTACAATAAAAAGAACTTGAGGAAGTATTTTTTCTCCCTGAACAGAGGCAACATCCTAAAACAGCTGGTGACTGAAGGGGAGGACGAAATTCTGGAGCCTACGGAGGAGTCTCCCCAGGGAAGGGAGGAGTCAAAAAGACACGACGAAAAGAGCGTACCAAACGAACAAGTAAAAAACGTTTTATCCTCCAACAGCCTCCTCAATTGCGACTTGGATACCTACGTCGATAGCGAGAGGTACCTAAAATCCAACGTCACCATCGAATTCAACATATATGACACGTTTAGCGACCGAGTGATTCTAAATAATAAGAACACAAATTCGACCATGCTGGAGTTTCCTCTCATGTATAGCCACCAGATTATACAGAAATGCATTTTAACAATGAAGAAGCTAGAGAAGGCCATCTTCTACATTAACAATACCTTCCTGTTTGGTCTCTTCTCCCCTCAAGAGGAACCCATGAATGATGAAGACAGACGTGTATACGATGTGCTTACCAGTGAGACCTGGGTGAAGATGGAGATATACCTCTGTAATATTTACAGGATGGATGAGAAATGGTTAGGCATCACTCCGGAGACGTTTGCCGATGAGGCCAAAGCGAACAGTTTTCTGCAATCCTACTCGGGGGGCGCGACGAGCAACTTGGTTTGCAAGCCGGAGGGGGGACAACTAGCCACCGGGCAAGCAGGAGAGTTTCCCACCAGGTTGGAGGAGGATCAGATTGCCAGGTTGGAGGCGGATAAGACTTCCACGATGGAGGCGGATAAGACTGTCACGCTGGAGGCGGATAAGACTTCCACGTTGAAGGCGGACCAGACTGCCACATTGAACGAAGATGCCCCCCCCGCTGCTACCACTGCGGCAGGTGCTACCGATGCTACCGCGGTTACCGCTACTACCGCTGCCACAGATGCCTCCTCTCCGCGCAGGGCCGAAATAGAGCGGAGGCGAGAGGAGTACGAATCGAAGAAGGACATCGCAATCAAGAGCGAGTTGCTAATGAAGAAGCTGGAAAATGAAATGAAATATGACCCGAACCACTACATGTGGAAGGACCTCTACCCACAGCTAGACGACCGAGGAAAGGAGAGAACGGACAAATACTTCAAAAAATTCGAAAAAGAGATGAGCGAAAATAAGTGTAGCCGCGGTTACACAGATAACATCAAAAAGAAGCAACAGTTAAAAGGTTATGACATCGGAGAGAAGATCGAAGGTAGAGCAAAGCATTATGTGTGGCAAGAGACAATGTACGCGTTCGTTCTGTATTTCCCACTGCGACCATACGTCAGAAAAGATGATATCAACATCGATATGGACAATACATTTTTCTTCCTTTCAATACGGGGACATACCGTTGTAAAGGATTTTTTCAACAAGCCAGTTAATGCTGCCGACTCGATTTGGTCCCTCACTGACAGGGAAGAAGACGTGGTGGTAGGAAGTAGCTCCATGCAGAAGGGACAGGAAAAAATAAGTCGAGATGAATTCCCCCTGCTGGCGATTACCCATACGGATGATTCAGAGATCCAAAAAATGATGAAGTGGAAATATTGCCTCGTCTACAACATATACAAAGACAACAATCACAGGTACATGTGGGGATCCATATTTAAGGCGTCCTGATCCGGGGCGCAGAAGGGGAAGAAGAAGGAGAACAGCGCAAGTGGGATACTCGGCTGCAAACATGAGCAGCTATACGCATGTGTGTGTCGTTCCCGCCTCGATTGGTGACTTCCTAGGCACAC